AAGCCTTTCCTGAGGCTGTTCTCCAAATACCTGGAATGTATATGTCCAGAGAGTGATCAGTCCACACTGTTAGCACTTCTCAGGGAAAAGTCAATTGGGAAAACTATGAAGGCACACATGATTTTCATAACAGAATACAGCTGATATATAACAAGCCAAGTAACACCAAAAACTCCTTAGAATTTGACTTCCTCTGGAGGAATTCCCTGATTCCTCCAGGTAGTGACTTTGCCATAACCAGCTGAGTTCTTATGATATATTCCTTCAGCCCTCAGCAACCCTGTATTCTGATGGTACTAATATTAACATGTACTTGAAGGCTTTCAGCACCTGTGGCCCCTGGGGTTTGAGTCTCAGCTCAGTGTCTGTTTTAGGCCAAGCCTGAAAGGAGGCACTGGATCTAGGGTCAATGAGTTTCCAGTTGACACCATCAGGCATCTTCATGTCCTTCAGAAGCACCATGCCTACCTTACCTAATTCATCTGGCTATGATGTGATCCATTTCCCCTTCTGAAACCAGGGTGGGGTCCACAGAAACCCTACTGTGCCCACCCCATACCATTAAGGTGGCAGAAAGGACCCAGATAGGGTTGTTTAGATCTTGAGGAAAATCCTGAGAGCCTATTGTCTAATCTTTACCAGTTACTCCCCTAGCTGGTGCTGGTTTACAGCCTAACTGTCAGAACTGCATATGCCTGGAATCTGTATCGCATTGACCACTGTGGTTGCTTGGGGGTATTTTATGAGACTTTGCAGAACCAATAGCCCCTTATGAACAATGCAGGAATGGGATAATTGATCTAGGTGGATGGTCTTGGGTTCAGAGAAGTTGAGAAGAGCCAAGTAGGTAGAAGAGAAAGCATAAGTAGTCCAGTGAGCACCATGGATATTAGGTCTACTTTGTGAGTACTCATGCACTTTCCCTCTAGGGAATCCAGAGAACAGGGCTGCCTGTGTACCTGTAACTGTTCTGTTCTGCTGGTGGGTTATGTGCCAAAGCACAGCCCTGTAGCCTGAGGAAATACCTAGGTGAACAAATGGGGCTTTTATGATCAAGAGGGGACTTTACCAAATCTGAGTTACTCCTGAGACACTTCTTTGCCTGTGTGGCCAGGCATAACTTTTTTTTCTTTGCAGTTATGGGTTCCCATATGAGTTTGCTGAGTGGCTTCCTCCAGCTGACAGCAACTTTCCAAAAGAGTGCTCTATTTATTCCCAAGAAAACCTCACTAGACACTCAGTTCAGACTTAGAGAGAAGAGGCACAGACAGAACATAACAAATCTAACCACAGCTCAGTGATTAAGAGGACAGTAACCTAGGGACAATATTATGTACAAAATGGCAGCCTAGGTGCTGGAGGGATGGCTCAGATGTCAAGAGCTCTTGCTGAGTAATCATGAGGGCCAGAGTAAAGACCAGTGTCACGTACCAGTCCGTAACTGCAGTAGGAGTGTGGGGAGGCATAGGAGAATCAGTAGAGATGGCTGGATTCCAGTCTGGTGAAGAAAAAGGAAGCCCCAGATTCAGGGAGACAGAGTGCTTCAAATGAACAGCTAGAGAGTAATAGAGTACCCACTGTTCTTTGCATGAGTCTTTAGGTGCACCCACATGTAGCCCATGCACAAATAAACCCTTTTAATAAACAAGTAGTAGCCCTTTTAGCCAGCTCACCAGTTTCACACTCATATACAGGACCCACCTGGTAGGTGGAAGTGATTTCCTGCCTTATCTCCAGCCTTTACTATGTACACCATCATTGCCTGAATACTTTGTAATCTCTGTCCTTTTGTCTTTGTAACATTTAAAGAACTTGGCTTGGCTTTTAAATAGCTCCTCTGTGGTCCCGTCCCAAATACAGTTTCCTTAAGACTTGGTTGGTGAATTCCAGGATTGTGGGAGCATGCTTTAGTATCACTATCAGTCTTTGTACAGCCAAATACTGCCCTGAAACATACTTTCATACTTTATGCTGGTTGTTCCCGAAGTGATGTATATGTATTCATTGTACCAGATCATATTCTGTCTTCAGCCTTTTTTTTTTCCCAAGACAGGGTTTCTCTGTGCAGCTTTGGAGCCTTTCCTGGAACTCACTCTGTAGCCCAGGCTGGCCTCAAACTCATAGAGATCTGCCTGCCTCTGCTCCTGAATGCTGGGATTAAAGGCATGTGCCACCACGACCTGGTCTGTTTTCAGTCTTTTATGCTCACCCCAAAACAATAAAATCTCTAGTTTTCTTTAAATTATGTAACAATGACAATTTTGCTGATTCCAACCACCATTTTTCAAGTCTCATTTAATCTGCCATTAATCTGTTACCATTGATTGTCCTATCACCTCAATTTCACTTCTGGACTTGTAGTCTTTTAGTTTCCTTATTTCTTTGATCCCCCATTTTAGCTCCTTTGCTGTCCTTTCTTGATCTCAATGTTGGATAATACATAGTTCCTTATTCTTTACATCAAGTCCCTAATGACCTAACTCTACTTAAGGGTTTGAAATATGCATAACTAATAACTATAAAATTAATATTCAGTCTGGGGTAACCCAAGCTACTATACTTCCAACTGCATAGTCAGTATTTTCATTTGGTATCTAAAAGCCATTTCAATATTAACAGCCTCTTGGAGCTGCAGAGAATGCTTAGTGGCTAAGTACCCAAGTTCAGTTCCCAGTACAGACATCAGATGGCTCACAACCACCTGTACACCTCCAGGGGATCTAACATCCTCTCTAGCTTCTTTAGGAATACTTCCACACATGGCAGTTACAAAGACACAGGCATATGAATAATATTTTTTTAACAATTTAAATAATTAGCATGTTAGAACTCTATGTTAGAACTACAGATTACCCCATCTTTTAATTTGTTTTGTTTTGTTTTGTTTTTCAAGACAGTGTTTCTCTGTGTAACAGCTCTGGCTGTACTGGAACTGACTTTGTAGACCAGGTTGGCCTCAAACTCACAGAGATATACCTCTCTCTGCCTCCCGAGTGTGGGGATTAAAGGTATGCACCACCACCTGGCTAGCTTCCTCTATCATATTTGATGGGATACCACCTTTCTAATTGCTGATAACCAAAACTTAAATTCACCTAGGACTTTTCTTTCTCACACCTAACCCCTGACCATTAAACAAAACTTGCTTTGTATTTACTTAACCTAGAAGAAAACAATTTCTTACTATACCAGTAGTAACAATCACAGTCTAGGCCAGTGGTTCTCAACCTGTAGGTTGTGACCTACACAGGGGTCACATATCAGATATCCTGCATATCAAATATTTACATTATGATTCATAACAGTAGCAAAATTATAGTTATGAAGTAGCAATGAAATAATTTTATGGTTGGGGTCATCATAAAATCAGGAACTGTATTAAAGAGTCACAGCATTAGGAAGATTGAGAACTACTGCTTTAGGCCACTGGCATATTTTATAAAAGAAGGCTACACTTCATATCACACCTTTTGCTCAAAACCCTTCAATGGCCGCCTATTTCATTCAGAATAAAGTTTAAAAATGCCTACAAGGTTTTGTAAGACACAGCCCTCAGTTATCTCTCTGACCTTCTGTCCTATCATCCCCTTGCACAGAACTCTAAAACCCTCTGGTGTTCCTCAAATACACCAATGTTCTGTTATGTGAATATGAGACATATTTGATAAAATTCAGCATTTGAGAATTTAGATGAGAAAATAGAAATGTTAATATAATCCACAAAGGAAAACATTCCTGGAGTGCTCCTTTCATTAACTTTAGACTTTCTAATCTTGACCCAGATCCTTCTTAATGGACTCCATCTCTTTTTTAATGACCTTTTCACTCTATTACCAGTTTTTTTTTTGAGTTAGGGTCTCTTTATATAGTCTAGAATTATCCAGAATTTACTTTTAGTCCTGTATGACCCAGAACCTTAAATCCTCCTGCCTCAGCACTGTAGCTTCACTAGCAACTGCTGGGATTACAGGTATGCTGCAATGCCTGATACAATTATATTTAACATATTCTATATTTATTTTGCCATCTCCTGCTAAGATTGCTTATAGATATACCACAACAACAAGAATAATGGTTGGATTCTAACAAGTACTCGAATGAGACTACATTTAGAAAAAGCTTGGATGAGGGAAAGATATAAAAATTCAAGGTTTTTGCATACCTTCTTACCTTTGTAGGCATGAGCTGTTGTCTCAGATTTTGTCCAAGTTCTTCCTTTAAGTCAGTTCATAGGTTTCAGTTAAGAAGACTGAACATTTGTAGTCAGAAATAGCATCTCTGTCTCTGAGATAGGATCTCACTATGTAGCTCTGGCTGTCCTGGAATTCACTATGTAGACCAGGCTGGCCTCAAACTCACAGAGATTCACCTGCTTCTGCCTCCTGAGTACTGGGGTTAAAGGCATGTGCTACCATTTCTGATTGTGCCTCCTAATAAAAGCAATATAATACCATTACTGGCCTGGCTACATCTACTCTGAATTAATGTCTCTTAGAAGACATTTTTAAACAGCAAGAAAGACTATACATGCATGTTCCGTATCATTCCTGTCATTTCTTCTAACATTGCAGCCTAGATTGGTACCTGGTCTGCCTTACAAGACAGTAGGATGCAGGCTGACCAAATGTCCTGCCCCCCGCAAATAAGAATATTGTTTTGTAGCTCACTCTGAGTACCCTCACTCTCCATGGCCTTATATTAATATTGAGATTTCATTTATTCACAGCAGACTATTTCCAAGTAAAATATTATTTTTTGCCCTTAAGAGAAGTTTTATTGCCAAGCATGGTAGCACAAACTTTAACCCCAGTACTCGGGAGGCAGAAGCAGGTGGGTCTCTGTGGAGTTTGAGGTCAGCCTGGTTTACAGAGTAACAGGACAGCCAGGACTACACAGAGAAATCATCTCAAAAAGCCGAGAGAGAGAGAGAGAGAGAGAGAGAGAGAGAGAGAGAGAGAGAGAGAGAGAAGTTTTATTGTTCCGAGAACTAGAAGAGCATCAACAAGTATGAGGGTTACTTTAATATTAAATAAAGAAATACATAGGCAGAGTAGAGTTGGAATGACTGTTCACAAAATCAGCAGGGTTGCAGACTCCACCATCCATAACCCCCAGATACCACTTCCAAAATCCTCATGAGGCTATCTGGGCTCCACCTCAGATGCCTACAGTGTTAAGAAGGGGAAAGAAAAGAAACAGAGGAAGGATTGCTTAAATATTCTACTCATACAAATGCCATTTTCATCTTGTTGACCTGCAATGGAGACTGAGATAGGATTTTTTTGCCTAGGGTTTTTGTGATGGAAAGGGAAATGAAAATTGGGTAGAATAGCAGTCTTTGATACAAACACATCAGTATTTTTTTCACTGTAAGTGAAATGTAGTCTATGGATATAACTTTTTACTTTCAGTTAACAAACTACATATTCAAGTTTCTCTTATTTCCTAGATTTATCTTGAGTATTTAGTTCATCATTTGTAAATAATATTATTGAGTTGACATCGAATATTGTGAAACATGTAAGTTTTGGGACAAATCAATCATACCTCTCCTAAATTCTGTAACAGTGGTGCTCAATAACCCATTAATACCACAGGGTTTCTTTATACTATAAATTTCCTTTTATAATAAATATATGAGATTTGGATGACTGCTTTCTCACATTGATGACAGTGTATAATAATTTGTCTAGAATAAATAATAATGAAAGAGTTCTTAATGTTAATTACATTGATAAATTCCTTCCTTTCATGAACATCCTTTAAAAATCACAATAATGCCGGGCGGTGGTGGCGCACGCCTTTAATCCCAGCACTCGGGAGGCAGAGCCAGGCGGATCTCTGTGAGTTCGAGGCCAGCCTGGACTACCAAGTGAGTTCCAGGAAAGGCGCAAAGCTACACAGAGAAACCCTGTCTCGAAAAACCAAAAAAAAAAAAAAAAATCACAATAATGAAAATAGCACCTAATGTTTATGATATGCAATGTTCAAGGCACTGTCCTAAGTGCTTTTACATGTTAAAACATGATATGAAAAAATTGGCCTTAGATTTACCTTACAAATGATTAAACCAAAGCAAGGTTATTTATAACAAATGCCACAAAGGAAATGAACTGATAGGACCACAATAACGTTGACACAGACATTTTCTATGCTAAAGACCTTTCAATACCATGGTAACAGAATCACTTTCTATTTTAATTTGCTAAAATGTAATACAGTTATAAACAAAAGGCTTTCCTATGTGGATTATATCAGCATTTCTATTCTCCCATATAAATTTTCAAATGCTGAACTTTATGAATCCTATAGTCACATTTGTAAGAATTCTTTACTGATAATGAATGACCAGGGAAAGCTATAATTGAAAAGAATAAGCTAACTCAAATAAAAATTTGTGAATGATGACTAAAGTCTATTTCACATTCTTTACAGTCAAAAGATTTGTCATTGCTATGAATTCTCTGATGTTGCATTAATTGTGACCCACGAGTAAAGGCCTTCTCACATTCTTTACATTGATATGGTTTCTCACCAGTATGAATTCGTTGGTGCCGAGAAAGATGTGAGCTCTGAGTGAAGGCTTTTCTACATTCTTTACATTCATAGGGCTTCTCACCTGTATGGATTCTCTGATGTAGAGTAAGTTGAGAGCCATGACCAAAGGCCTTCCCACATTCCTTGCATTCATAAGGTTTTTCTCCAGTGTGAGTTCGCTGATGTTGAGTAAGCTGTGAACCACGAATAAAGGCCTTCCCACATTCCGTACACTGATACGGTTTTTCACCAGTATGAATTCTCTGATGTTGTATAAGTAGTAATCCACGAGCAAAGGCTTTGCCACATTCACTGCAGACATAGGGTTTCTCACCAGTATGAAGTCTCTGATGTTGAGAAAGATGTGAACTCTGAGTAAAGGCCATCCTGCATTCTTTACATTCATAAGGCTTTTCACCAGTATGGATTCTTTGATGTTGAGTAAGCTGTGAGCCACGAATAAAAGATTTTCCACATTCCTTACACTCATAGGGCTTCTCACCAGTGTGGATTCTCTCATGCTGAGTAAGTTCTGAGCCCCGACTAAAATTTTTTCCACACTCTTTACAGTCATAGGGTTTTTCACCAGTGTGAATCCTCTGATGTCGAGTAAGGAGTGATCCACGATTAAAGGCTTTTCCACACTCCTTACATTGATAGGGTTTCTCACCGGTATGAATTCTCTGATGTTGAGTAAGTTGTGAGCCATGACTAAAGGTCTTTCCACATTCTTTACATTCATAAGGCTTTTCATTAGTATGAATCCTTTGATGTTGAGTAAGTTGGGAACCACGGATAAAAGCCTTTCCACATTCATCACATTTATAGGGTTTTTCACCAGTATGAATTCTTTGATGTTGCATAAGTAGTGAGCCTCGAATAAAAGCCTTTCCACATTCCTTACATTCATATGGCTTTTCTCCATTATGAATTTTCTGATGCTGTGAAAGCTGTGAACCACAAATAAAAGCCTTTCCACATTCTTTACATTCATAAGGTTTCTCACCAGTATGAATTCTTCTATGGAGAATAAGCTGTGAAAGCTGAGTAAAGACCTTCCTACATTCTTTACAGTCATAAAGCTTCTCACCAGTATGGAGTCTCTGGTGCAGAGTAAGCTGTGAATTCTGAGTGAAAGCCTTTCCACATTCTTTACATTCAAAAGGTTTCTCACCAGTATGGACTTTTTGATGTCGGCTGAGTTGTGAGCTTCGAATAAAGGCTTTCCCACATTCTTCGCACCTATATGGTTTTTCACCTGTATGAATCCTATGGTGTAAAATAAGTTGTGAGCTTTGGGTAAAAGCCTTTCCACATTCCTTGCATGTATAGGGTTTCTCACCGGTATGAAGTCTTTGATGTAGACTTAGCTGAGAATCACGACTAAAGGCTTTCCCACACTGCTTACATTCATAGGGTTTCTCACCAGTATGAATACTCTGATGCTGAGTTAGGTGTGAGGCTCGTCTGAAGGCTTTTCCACATTCCTCACATTTATAGGGTTTCTCTATAGAATAAATTCTTGGATGCTGAGATAAATAAGTATGTGGGCTAAAAATAGACATTTTGTCATATGTTATCATCTCTTTCCTGTAATATTCCTTCTTGTTCCTTCTCTAATCTAACTTCAAATTCCAATTATCTTCTAAGAATTAGTCTTAGGTGCACAGTATTTGAACCTGTTACTCATTTCTCACTGAGGTATTCTGATTTCTTAGTGTGCTATTTTGAAGATAAGTCCTTATTCAAACACCTAGAAGGCAAGTCTGAAAGATAAAGAGAATTATTTCAGAGAATAGAACTAATATACCAGAAAACACAATAGGAAAATAATATCTATAAGAAGTAAGAAGTATACATTAGTATTTTCCAAATATTGCTTACTACATCCCATTCACATTAATACCTACCTTTCAGAGCAAAATTTTCAACATATATAGTTTCATTGAAGTAATACTGTTTTTTATTCTATGTTATTCTATATAACACCCCATAGTAAAAAAAAATAACTAAAGTGGTTTTAATGCTGTTATCCAGAATAAAAAAAAATAGCTTTGCTGGGCTGTGGTGGTACATACCTTTAATTCCAGCACTTAGGAGGCAGAGGCAGGTAGATCTGTGAGTTCAAGGCCAGGTTGGTCTATAGAGTGAGTTCCAGGACAGCCAGGGCTACACAGAGAAACCTTATCTCAAGAAACCAAAAAATAAGTTTAGGTACCAGGCATGGTGATACTTGCTGTAATAATAGTAATAATAGTAATAATAATAATAATAATAACATGTATGTATGTAAGTATATACACACATTATCTTAGAATTCTTATAACTTCTTATATTAAAATATATGATGGGTACCTGAGATCAGAAAATAATGAAAACTCACCTGGGAGTGAAAAAGGATGAGATTAAGAAAAGTTTTAAGCCAGGCAGTGGTGGCGCATAACTTTAATCCCAGCACTAGGGAGGAGAGGCAGGTAGATCTCTGTGAGTTTGAGGCCAGCCTGGTTTTCAGAGTTAGTTCTAGGACAGCTAAGATGACACAGAGAAACCCTATCTCATAAACCCCCCCCCCAAAAAAAAACCTTTTTAAAATTAATGATTCTTGATGCTGTTCTCCTGAGAAATGCACACCAACCCTTGGATGTGAACAATCCAATTACTCAGCATTTCTCTGTTAATTCCCATGCTTAAATCTGTTATAAATCTCTTCCTAATAAATTCTAATTCTGATTTTTTTAAATCAATAGTTGTCAAACTTTGATGGGGATAAAAATCATATTAAATAGGTGTTAAGATTAAAGATGTCCAAATATACACTAGATTAACTGAATCTGAACCTAGTAAATTAAAAAAAAAACCATAATGGAGATCACAGTTTTAATATTCTCCATTAACTGATTCAGATTTAGATCATGATTTGCTATCCCTTAAATTTTTGGTGTCTTTTAAATTAGAGTAAAGTCCAAAATCATCGTTCTATCATATTGACAAAGTTCTCCACAGTCTGGCTGAAACTTCTTAGCTCTGATCACTATGTGTCAAACTTGCTAGCATCCTTTCTACTCTGAAAATGTACCAAGGCTGTTGTGTGATATTTTGATTGTGTTCTGACAAATAAAGCTGGCCTGGAGTCAGAGGGTGGAGCTGGCCACTAGCTGACCATAGACGTTTTGAGGACTGAGGACTGATAGCATACAGGAAGTAGTAAGGTGGGACTGAGAGAGGATCTTGACTTTTTTGGACTGAGGAACTGAAGAGGCAGCAAGCAACTGGCAGCTGCTCCCTGTTCTCTGATCTTTCAAGTTCTTACCACAATATTCGACTCCCAAAATTTTATTGATAAAGATTAATTAGATTAATGCTTCATCTGCCATCCAACTTTTTGGACACAAATTCACGAAACGGCTGCTTTGCCACTGGTACCCACCAGAGCTGCACCTGTTAGAGTCACCATACAGCTGGCTTTTCCTTTCCCCTCCCCCACAAGTCCTATAACCAAGTTTGTCATTTTCCTGTTGCAGCCTCTCTATAACAATCTCCACAAGCCCCAAACTCCATAGGTGCCTAAGCTCCAAATGCTGCTGGAGTTTGCCCCTCATAACCAGCCAGCCCTGCTTTCGGGCAGTTCTGTGCTTTCACTTTCTGCTGGTCACTCATGCTGCCTTCACGTGTCCCCCCCCCCCCCCATGTCAGTTCTTCAGACAGGTGGCTATGTGGCTCCTTTTCCCCATGGGTTGTGGGATTTCCCTGGACCCCCTCCTCACTGCTGACATGTGGTCAATGGCAGCTGTCCTCAGCCAGGCTGTGTTCTCTGCTCAGACATGCTACACAGTGACAGCTAGCCTTACACTTTACTGAAGCATCAGCAGATTTGGTGATACAACTTGAAATTCTTAAAGGGGAAAATTAGTTTAAGAAGAGAGACAGAGATTTTTCTCCCACATTAAAAAATGGGAAGCACAGCTGGGTGGTGGTGGCGGCGGCGGCAGCGGCGGCAGCGGCGGCGGCGGCGGCGGCGGCGGCTGCACGCCTTTAATCCCAGCACTCGGGAGGCAGAGCCAGACGGATCTCTGTGAGTTCGAGGCCAGCCTGGGCTACCAAGTGAGTTCCAGGAGAGGCGCAAAGCTACACAGAGAAACCCTGTCTCGAAAAACAAAAAAACAAACAAACAAACAAACAAAAAAGGACAAAAATACCTAAAAGATTAAAAAAAAATTTTGAATTCTGTATGTATGAATGTTTTTCCTACATGTATGTCTGGTGCCTATAGAAACTAGAAGAGCGCCGGGCGGTGGTGGTGCACGCCTTTAATCCCAGCACTCGGGAGGCAGAGCCAGGCAGATCTCTGTGAGTTCGAGGCCAGCCTGGTCTCCAAAGCGAGTTCCAGGAAAGGCGCAAAGCTACACAGAGAAACCCTGTCTCGAAAAACCAAAAACCAAAAAAAAAAAAAAATGGGAAGCACCATTACACTATTAGGTCTCTGTATGATTCCACATTGGATGGTTTAAAAATGGAACAATTAAATGAGGGGATAATTAACTTTGGGATTTACATAATGTTAATTATAAACATTATTGGTTTGGTAATTCTTGTTTTATCTCTAAAAAAGTTGGTTGAGATGAGTGACAAGATACAGGCCTTAGAAAAGTTTACTACAGAAAATATGTAATTTTCATTGATAAGTTAGAAGCCTTAGAAAAACTTACTATAACAGATAATAGAGATATTCAGACAAAGACAGAGGAATTTAAAGGAGAACCAACCTCACCATTATAAAATTAGAGAGGAACAGCCCAAGGTTATCGAAAAACCAACCTTAATTTATCCAGTCACCTTATGAGAACAACTGCCAAATGACAGGTATCCCAAAGGCTATGCAAGAGCTGACTGGATTCCTGTGGAAATGTTAGATTTGAGGAGATTAAAGGAAGTGATAGTCTCATATGGTATGCATTCACCTTTTGTCAGGCAGATGCTACATTTATGTTCAACTAGTAACAGAATTGTCCCACAAGACTGGAAAGACTTGATTACAGCAGTATTGGAATCTGGTCCTCAATTACAGTGGAGGACTTGGTGGAAAGATAATGCTAAGACCATTGAACAATGAAGTAGGGCTAGAGGTATGGAAATTTCCCAAGACCAACTTCTTGGAGAGGGTGATTATGCTGATGTACAAAGACAGTCTATATATGATGGACACATGTTGGCTCTATGCCATGCAGCAGCTTTGAATGCTTGAGACAGAGTTGAAGAAGTAAAAAACAGAACTGAGTCATTTCCTAAAGTTATACAGGATCCAAAATAAACTTTCACTGATTTTTCACAACTGACTTCAGCTATAAAAAAAAAATGATACCAAACCCAGAAGCTAGACAAATAATAACTGAATCTTTGGCTTTTGAAAATGCTAATTCACAATGCAAAGGGGTAATTAAGCCTTTAAAGGCAAGATCAGCACATGTAAAGGAATGGATCTGAGGTACAGTCAATATTGAATGTCATAACCATGATGATGCTTGGATAGGAGAGGTGATTTCCAGAGTTTTGAAGAAAAATCAAAATGTTTTATCAAGGTGTTTTAATTGTGGCAAAAAAAAAAAAAGGCCACCTAAAAAGGAATTGTAGGCAGGGCATTCCTAAAAACAATGTCTTTTCTAGGAATAATCCAAACAGAAGGCCCCTGCCTTCTGGAGTATGCAGAAGGTGCAGCAAAAGCTGACATTGGACCAATGAATGCAGATCAACAAGGGACAGACAAGGTAACCCTTTGCCATCAGGAAATGCCTTGGGGGGGGGTTCTCGCAGGTCCTCATGTCAAATTTAGCTCAATCATTCCCTGTCACCATGGGGGAAACTCCTCCCCAGAGCAATTATAGGACCTAATGCCTATTGTAAAAAACCACACTGTTCTGGATGATAGAACACCTTTAGAAGATTAAACAAAAATTTCAGGAGAAACCATAAAGCAAAAATTATAAAGATTAGATTTGGATAAGAGAGACTAGAAGAGATGATAATTCATCAAACAGTGTGACCATTTGATCTAAACTAACTTATAAGACTAACAAATGCTTTTCATTTAATCAGATATAACTTTCCAAAAGGGAAACTCCCCAAAGTTAGAGTTGGGGCAGGGTTTTGTTTTTGTCCTTTCAGGAGAATAAAGGCATCCAGCTAAAAAATCTGAAGACCACTGGACAAATGAGACATCTGAAGAAAAAGGATGAGTCATCCAGAGATAATGTCTCAAGAAAAAGAGTAAATTGGCCTATTCATGTATCACATTTCCAACAGGATAAAATTTCATAAATCTTCTCAAATGTTTGTTTCTGTTGTTCTCTACAGACATATAATATAAATGGTCTTTTTGTAGTCCCAGTTGAATTAGAAATTAAAGCTGCCTTTGGAGTTGGAGTGTGGCTCTCTCCTTCTCTAAACTCAAGCATGCTTGTTAAAGGAAAATCCAAAATCTCTGTCTCATGTCAGAAGAGTCACCTGATATGAGACAGAAGAAAAACCAAAATTAAGGGACTATTCTATTGCCACTAATCTCATAATTCTTTGGTTTTATCTTGATTCTTTAAAACTTTTCTTAAAGTATAAATATCTCAAAATTTATAAGGTTAATATATATATACATATATATTTTAAACTTTTTGTCATGATATTTATGATCATATAGAGTACTAACTAATTCTAGAAAAAGACTTCATCTAGATTTCTGTACATTTTTTCGGGTTTGAGTCTTTATCAGGTAACTAGGAATTAAGTTTTTGTACTCTGGATGTACATAACAAATATTGATCCTTTAACTTCTTCAAGATCTGTTGCATATGACATTTAAAATGTTTAAGTTTTGTGCAGTGAATCATGACTATGCCTAACAGTGACCTTTGAAGTCTCCAAAAGGAGGATAGGGCTCCACAAGGGCTCCACAACAATGATTCCACCTGGATTATGGTAATGCCACTAAGATGACAAAAATCAGCTTTGAACTACAAACTGCTCAGGACATTTTCAAAGTGGCTAGCTGAGATGGTCCAGCCTCACAGACTACTTGTACCAAGATTTGAGATAAGTCTTGCATTTTCCCATTACACAGAGACTGGACAACAAATGATACCGCTATCTGTCCCAAGAATTGACAAGTAACCCAATTTTTCAGAGTCCCTAAAGATGCTGTCTTCCCCAGACAACAGGAAATAATTTTAAGAACTAGATGCCCACATTCCCAAGAAGTGGGGTGGGTAGTTTTTGGTTGTTCAGTAGATTAAGGATATTTGTCATCATTTGGGGAGTTGATTACAAGTTATTATTGGTAATGGTCAGGAAAAAAGCTGAATAAAAGAGATTAGATTTCAGGGACCTTGTTCTGGAAAGAAAAAGAGGGGATATAGAGGTGATAGAATAAAAGGGTAGATTATTGAATCTACTTTTAAACCAAAAAGCAACTACTAGTTTTATGTATAATTGGTTTGGATTTTTTTATATTGATACAATTTGAGGTTATTTTTGTTAGAACATACTATATATGCGTTTCTACTCTTGTTCAAGGTATTGTACCTATACAGCTCATTTAACAATGTAATGTAAATTTCTAGTCCTTGAATATTTAGGATAATAAAGAAATGCAGGTCAGTAGTTAGTCACCTATTAAAATCAAACATGTAGTCAGGTATGTTTTCAAGGTCAAATAGATATATTTTAGATAGACAGGTGGTCTTCAAATCTACAGAATATGGCATTTAAGATGTTTTAATAACATAAAGTTGTTGTTTTTTTATGACAATGAGACATTTCTGCTCCTGGCAACACCAATCTACTTCAGAAAAGATGGTGGGCATGAAAGAAACTCTGCATGGAGTTTGATTTCTTTGTGGCAAAAGTTAGCCACTGGGCAAGAAACTGCTCTTGCCTCAACTGCTGGCAGTATGCTGTCCAAATTGGACAAGCAGGACACAAAATAAAGTGACCACTGAACTTTGCCAAGACAAGGTGGGACAGTCCTCCAAAAATCCTACTTCATGGATAAGTCTGTCAGATATTCTAGGCCTGTAGTCCAAAGATGGATGCCCCAACATTACAGAGTAACCGTGGGAGACTGTTCAGGCAGTCAGCTATTTCTGTCATTTCTTAATTTTGGAAGTTGTTTGCTCTACACTTCCTGTTTACTCAGGTAGTATTATATCCTTCTTAGATCTCTGATAGAATTGAAGACTAGATATTTATAGTTTTCCTTGTTACCAAATTCAGAAATGAAACTCAAAAAAGAGGTGTAAAGTGTATAAGGTTGAGAGACGTAAAAAGATAATTTTGGATTGGTAATGCAAGTTAGGATAGAAAATGAATTAGGTACAACACTTTGAACTCACCAAGATAGGATAGACTATGGAGTATTTTCTCTGAATTTGTCAAATGCAAATGGACTGAACATTGTGATTGCATTTTTTGCCTGTATATATTTTATGTAGTTATTATACTTATTGTATATAGTTTTACTATGTTAGCTAAAACCTTTGCTTTTTATTTAGACAAAAAGGCAGAAATGTGTATGGTATTTTGATTGTTTTCTGGAAAATAAAGCTTTCTTGGAATCAGAGGGTGGAACTAGCCACTAGCTGACCAAAGAGGTTTAGAGGACTGAGGACAGATAGCATACAGGAAGTAGGAAGGTGGGGCCGAGTGAGGATGTCATCTTTTTTGGACTGAGGGAATGAAGAGGTATCAAGCAACTGGCGGCTGCTCCTTGTTCTCTGATCCTTCAGGTTCTTACCCCAATATTTGACTCCTGAATTTTTATTAATAAAGATTAATTAGATTAATGTTTCATAAGGCCTTTCCAAGTTTACAGTTAACTATATAGCCTATTCCATCTCATTAGATCTCTCTGTAGGAAATTCTATATTAACTAGCTCTTATCTTCAGGTGTCAACTTAATTATTGTTCCTAAACAGTAATATTGTTCCTAATCAGTAAGAGTCCTGCTTGAGGTAGAGGGGTAGAGAGACACTCAATACTGTTCTTCTACAGGGCCTAGGTTCAATTCCCAGCACCTACATAGGAGCTAACAATTGTATGTTACTACAGTTCCAGGGGATCTGATACCCTCTTCTAGCCTCTATAGACAATGAATGCATTTGGTACAAAGACAGACATGTAGACAAAACACTCACACACTTGTTTTTGTTTGTTTGTTTGTTTTGTTTTGTTTTTTCACCAGGTTCTCCATGTAACAGCCTAAGCAGTCCTGGAACTTGCTTTGTAGACCAGGCTAGCCTTGAACTCACAGAGATCTGCCTGCCTCTGCCTCCAGAATGCTGGGATTAAAGGCATGTGGCACCACACCCAGCAAGAGTAAAGTTTTAAAAACCTTAATTAAAAAAAAAAAAAAAAAAAAAGAATCTTGGCCAGACATGGTGGTGCATAGTGGCATATCCTTTTGATCCCAGCACTCAAGGCAGAGGCAGATGAATTTCTGAGTCTGAGGTAAAACTGATCAACCTTGCAAGTTCCAGGCCAGTCAGAGCTATATAATAAGACCCTATCTCAAAAATTAAAATAAAAATTTAAAAATCTTAAGAATTCACTTCTGTTAATTTAGCATAAGTTGTGAAAAATATAAAAAACTCAAAAATGAAGGTGAGAACACTGAAAGAATTGGTAGGCTAAAAGCTAAAAACAAACAAAAAAACCACAAATGACAACTCAGAGAGCAAAAAAAAGTCTTAAGATTCTGAAAAAGCCATATGAAAAGTGAAAAAATGAAGCAGTGTTTTCAACTATTTCATACTTCTGGGTGCTTGGGTTGGGATTCTGAGTGCTATGATGTAGGAACAAGAGATTGGTCAGTGCAGGGGTCTAAAATATGAGCCAGGCTGTCCCTCTCTTTTCTTTTTCTCATCATATTATGTAGTCCAGGCTGGCGTGAAGTTTACAGTCTTCCTGTCTCAACTTCTGGAGTACTGAAATAACAGGCATAAGACAGACACTAAGCCCACCTAACACTATTAAATAACTTAAAATTCAGAAATTTAAAGAGGTGGCTCAGAGGTTAAGAGCACTGGCTCCTCTTCCAGAGGACCTAGGTTCAATTCTCAATACCAACCTAATGATTCACAACCATATGAAAGTCCAGTTCCAGGGGTGCTGACAACCTCTTCTGACCTCCACAGGCACCACATTAATGTACACACACATATATGTATGTAGGTAAAACATTCGTACACATAAATAAATCTTTTTTTAAGTAGGTCATGAGATATAAGGGATAGAAATTCTTACCTACTGACACCAAGTTACTATAATTTTCCAAACATCACATCTCTGTGCAAATCCCTTTGAATAGAGTCCAGGCATTTCCATTCTTCCTGAGAGAAGTCAAAGCAACATCACTAAACATCACTGATTTCTGAAAAAACAAACAATTACCAGCTGTAGAAATAAAGGACACAATTCCTTAATAGAAGGGGAGATGAAAAGGAGTATTCCATAAAGGACACTGCCAAGTAAACAGAGTGAGGCTTCTGACACAGAGAGATAACAAAAAATTAAGTGATGAGGTGTGAGCATGTCTCAATTCTCTCCTGTAGGTATCTTCATATAAAGCACCTCATTATATTTGAGTTAATATAGTCCATACAATGTCACAGTTTCTTTCATGAAACAGCATATACAAATACCCTTTAAAAATATTTAAGTTGAACATCACACATTCAACAAATGCTGTTTCTCTTCCCTGTTTAGGAATAAGAAAAATAATTGGATTTTTTTCCCCCTGTAAAATCTTTTTGCTGTTATTTCTTGACTTCAACAGTTTCTAATAGGTACCAGGTTGGCCTCAACCTTATTATATAGCCAAGGATGACCTTGGCTTGAACTCCTCATCCTTATGCTTCCCTTTTGTTAGTGTTGGGATCACAGACATGTACTATCATATCCAGGTTCCAACACCCTCAACTGAAAAAGAAACACATTCTATATCTAAAGCACTCTGACCTATGGCACAGTACGGACAAAAGGAAATTATCTGTATAACAGATGTTCCCCTCAAAGAAGCTGAAATGGGCTGTTTCTTAAGACATATGGGCTTGTTATATTCACATATGTTTCTCTCCATATTTCATTGTCTTTGTTATCCCTGGTGATCCAGTAAGCAAAGCACTCTATTCCTTATCTACGTGGCTTAAAGATTATATTGTATCTTTTCAAGTAGCTACTTCTAATAAAAGCTCAGGGCAAGAGGCACTCTGGGTTCTCAGAACATCTTGCATGCTCTTTGGGTCCCTAGCCTCCATTGCTGGAAATTCACATTCCAGATTCAGAATTTTGTGTCATGAACTGCGATTTTTCAAATTGTGGAAGTAGATAGCTGGTTCAATCTTATAAGATTTGTACAATAGAGCTGGGCGGTGGTGGCGCAGACCTTTAACCCCAGCACTTGGGAGGCAGAGGCAGGTGAATCTCTGTGAGTTCAAGGCTAGCCTGGTCTACAAAGCAAGTTCCAGGACAGTCAGGATTGTTACACAGCAAAACTCTGTCTCAAAGGAAAAAGAAAAAAAAAAGGTTTGTACAATACTAAATAATTTTGAATCCTCATAGTCATCATTGTGGCAATCCACAAGATATAGGGTGTCCAGCTGTATATAATAAGGTATACCTTGACCAACCAAGGATCCTTCAAGTGGGAAGCCATTTATCACAGAATATTTGGTGTTATTCAGCTTTAATAGTCAGCTGCTCCTTGTTATGAATTTCTTGTGCTCATAATTCCCATAGAACGTGTATGTGTGATCATCCTGCTCAGGCCACTACTTGGAAGAGGTCACGTAGGCAGGGCCTTCTGCCTCTGAGCTAATTGCTCCACCCACCCACTCACCCCCTTTTTTTGAGACAAGGTTCCTCTGTGTAGTTTTGGTGCCTGTCCTGGGTCTCACTCTGTACACCAGGCTGGCCTCAAACTCACAAAGATCTGCCTAGCTCTGCCTCCTGAGTGCTGGGATTAAAGGCCTGCACCACCACTGCCCAGCACCCTGCTCCCTTTTTAGCATTTGAATTGGGTAGCTACCTTTTGCAAATTTCCCCTTTAGCTAGGGCCAGCCCCAAACAAAGCACTGAAAAAATAGCAGGGAACACAATAGCAGAGACCATCCCTTGCCTTCAGGCCTAGTGGCCTTCCATAACAATTGACTGAGAACAAAGAAGTTTTTGCATGTCCAGGTGGGAGTGAAAGGTGGAACAGGATTCCTGCGAGACAGAACAGCATGGCTAGAGAGAAGAGAGGAAGATATTCTGTAGAGGATAAGGTAGATAGATCTCTTGCAGAGTTTTCTGAGAGGAGTAAGGAGCTAGGAAGGAGAGATGGAGGATGAAGAACAGAGGATGAAGAGTACATCAAAAGCATAGGAGCTTACAAAAACTATGAGGACAGGAAAAATAAGCATACAGAGGAACTGAATGTGAGGACAGAGCTGAAGCTGTATAGATAGAATTTTGTCATAGAGGAATAAAGTAAATGGACAAAGAGCTTGCTGTAACTAGATTCATTCCCCTGCTATTGGTAGCATCTCTTCTGGGCCTCTGGGAAGAATATTATTAAGGCTGGTCCATTAATAATATTGGAGACATTATTATATTGGATTATATTAGTCTGTATTCTTAGAGTAGCAGAATTTACAGAATGAATATATATAAATGGAGATTTATTAGAATGACTTCCAGGCTGTGGTCCAACTAATCCAACAATGCTGGCTATGAACAGAAAGTCCAAGAATCCAGTAGTTGTTCACTCTGAGGCTGGATGTCTAAGTTGGTCTTCAGTATAAGCTGGAATCCCAAAGAAGTCAGTCCTAATGCCAGTGAAGGAATGGACTTGCTAGCAAGGTAAGAACAAGGAGGCAAAGAGCAAAAACTTCCTTCTCCCAGGTCCTTATACAAGCTTCCAGCAGGTATAGCCCAGATAAGATCTAGATTAAAGATCTGGATTTAAAGTGTCTTCCTGCCTCAAGATCTGATAGGAAGTACATCTTCCTATTTCAAATTAAGCAGAAATTCCTCATAGGTGTGCCTTCTATTTTTGGGTTTTAGTTAATTCCAGGATATAGCCACATTGACAATCAAGAATAGCTATCACACAGAGGATTACATCATAAGCACTTTCTATGTCACCAATAATTTAATCTTTTTATAGACTTCAGAATAGCATTGTATAATAAGTAGATCTGATTTTCATTTTTGAAAATTTCAGGTTGTGAGAATTGTGTTTCTTACTTTTAAATATTTCTCATTACTATTTATCACTCTTAATATCTCCTTTTCTCATCTAAACTATAGAAAAATGGAAATATATCTATCCCAAGTATACACATTCAACCTCACAACTTAATATTGAGTTTCAAAATGATCCAGTTATCAGTATTGATCAGTTCCACATTCCTGATCTCTCTGTATCTAGTCCCTAGACATTTTCTAACCTTAAGGTTTATAAAGCATGAGCTCTTTCTGTAACCCCATCATGAGAGGTTGATAAAGGATGATGAGGAGTTTGAGGCCAGCCTGGGATACATAGTGAGTTTGGGAGCCAATGTAGGCTAAATAAGTAAGTTGAAGACCAGCATGGGCTCCACAGAAAGATCCTTTCTCAAACAAACAAACCCACATACTGAGAAATTCAAAGATTTCTTTTTGTCATATAACAACTTCCTTACCTTATAAAATCAGAGGAATCTCTATCTTATAAAAATCTTTTGTTAGATCAGTATTCCTAGTCAAAGATGCTGTGCTGTGTGTGGGGCTGGAGATATGGCTCAGTGGTTAAAAGCACTTGGTGTTCTTGAAGAGAACTAGAGTTCAGTTTCCAGCACCTACATGGTGGCTCACAACCATCCCAACTCTCCTTGCAGATTTCCAGTATTTTCTGCATACAAACATACATGCAGGCAAAATACTCATACATACAAAATAAATATTTAAAAAAATTCAAGAGCTTGCTGCTCTTTCAGAGGACCTGGATTTGGTTCCTAGCACCTACATAATGGCATCCATGTAACTTCAGTTATAGAGTATCTGATGTCCTCTTCTGGCCTCTGTGAGAATCTGCACTCATATAGTACACTTACATACATGCAGGCAAAATATTCATACACCTAAAATTAAAATTCTTAATTTTTTAAAAGTTGCCAAATGTATTGTTGAATAAGCACATAAATATAGGCTAGATTAGAAAGACACAAATACCATTATAAGAATGAGACAAAATGGGCAGCATATTCTTGAGAGGGCTCAGTTAGGAAGGAGGTTCCAGGAATAAGCACTGTTAACAAACCTGCCTAAAAAATGAAGTAACTAAAAATGCATAATAAATCCCACAAACTAACCAACCAACCCCAATAAAACTCATTGGTTCCCCCTCAGATAGGAGGAAGCTACAAAGAAGATTCTCAGATGAGCCAACCTACAAAGACTCTGATGTCAGACCAGCTGCCTGGGAAAAGCAGAAACTAGCCAAGATGCCTGGACGAGACTAAGACCAGAGTGAAAGGAACACTCTTCAACTTGTTCAGCTGCCTGCAGGTTGTGCAGTGTGTTTCAGGTTCCCAGCTTTTGTGAGGTGTCACTTGTGCTGGGGTGGGGTTTGGTGATTCAATTGTCTTTGAGTCATTTCTGCTCCTTTAACCCCTCATCCATATTCCTGTAGTAAACCTATAAAACTCATTGGTTCACAAAATTGAACTTTGCTGGTATACAAACTTTAGTCTGTCCTGGGCTCCATATCTGGGGTAAGTAGATGTGAGTGTGCCCATGCCTCTGTGTTTGAGTGTGAGTGTGTATGTGTGTATGTAGTGTCTTCCTGGGAGTCTTGTCATACAACCTAATTGGCACCCAAACAATGACATGACAGAAATAAATGAGTTTGGGAGGAATAAATGCATGGTCCTATCTATGGGTAGCAAGGTATGTAACTGAGGTTTGCAGCTTGAGGGGGAAGTATCCACAGAGGAAATTCAGATAAAGTTTTCCTTTCTTGTATGGTGTGTATTGATGTGCCTTTGTGTTATGACAGCTGAAGGGCTCTAGCAGGTCCAAGCATGGCAAACACGATGCTGGCAGGCCTTGCCCTCCCCCCTTCCCTTGTAAACTGATAGATTACATCTCCAAAGCTAGCCACCAAGATCTATTCTCTTATTTAGACACTTTCTCATGCCAGAATCATTCCTAAGGCTGTCATCAAGGTCCAGCTACTGAAGTATTGAAGTCCTGCTGAAGTATTGAAGTCCTATAATCAAAAGCCCACTTTTGGCTATTCCAATTAACATGCCCAATCAAAAGATACCACAGCACCCTAGCCCAGTCTAACACAGACATCCCTCTTTTTCCTCTTAAAAAAATTACACCTACAAGTAATTGGCTGCTGTTTTCTCCGAGTCAGAAATCAGCCACTTTACTTTTCTTATCCACTTAATAAAGGTTCTCTCTGTGAAAGAGGGTGTGCTCTGTGACTAATCCAGGTGTTGGGAGGGAACACCCCCCCCCCAACTATGTACAGGTCCCTTCAAGAGTTGTTGCAGGCTTAGGAGTATCTATGGGAGGAATCCCAAGATGGCAGTCTTCATCTAGGTGGTACGGGTGGGCATGCCTGCTTGATGAGTCGGGCCCACCACAGGAATATGGAGATGACCTGAAAATAGTTCAAGGTTTAGAGGGAGTTTTACAGTCTTTGAAATTAGCACACAAGGGTCAAGATTGTTGGCAAGCAGCAGCAGAGGCTTTCTGGCCACTGTTGTCTGTAGTAAAAATGCATCTCATGCTGAGCTGGCAGCCAAGTAGGAACTTGTTTATGCAAAGGAGCAATTGCAACAAGAAAGGGCGATGCAGCCAGCGTGCCCCGTTAGCCTGATTTGGCAAGTAAATTAGATAAATGAGAGGATGAGAGAGATTGGTGGTAAAAGCAGTTGAAGATACCCCTCAGGTCCAACCTTTAATAGAAAAAGAGGGAAAATCTACAACCCAGCCTGCAGATGGTAGCCTTGACAATGGTCCCATACAAGAAACTAGGATGATCAGGAAATATTCAGCACTTGAACTGCTGGAACTGGGGAAGACTTAAGGAATGAAAGAGCCGGTCACAGGCAGGTTTGTGAAGCTGTAGGACATGGGAGCAGATGGCATCAGTCTGGCAGCTGTGGAGTCAGGAATACTGAGTAATGAAACACCTCATCCCTCCTTAAGGCAAAGGGTGCATAAACTGAGACAGTGTGAGGAAAGTCAGTCCCCGATGAACTGGCTTATCAGAGCCATTAGGAACACTTGGTTATCTTCATTGTTGTTGTGTTGAGGTCCCCACAAACAGCAGGACCATAGATATACCGGTGCTATTGAAGGAACTAAAAGTAAGAGATTCTGTGTTTGAACCCCTGTTCACTGGGCCAGACAGAACTATATTCTATAGTTAAACAAAAGGTTGATCCATTAGGGACCCAAGGCTGGTGTGGAGCTTTTGGCAGTGTTGCTGGGCCTCTTGGTGGGGCAAGATCTTTATGAACTAGGAAAAGCTTTGGCAGATCTTTTTTACTTAGACCAGCATGTAAAGAGTGTCCATAAAGTGGGAGAGCAACGTAGAAGATAGTAAAAAGGTAAAGCCAAGAAAGAGTTCTGTCTGGGTTCCTCAAAGACAAGTGGAGCATAATTTATGTTGAGCTGGAGTTCCTAAGAAAACACTGATAGAAGCCAAACTGTGTGCTGAAGAACTTCTGAAAGGCTCTAACCAGAGAAGCAGTTCACAGAAGAAGTTCTGTGATAGAACAGTACAGGTGAAGATGATTAAGCCTGTCCTAGGGGTGGGTAATTATCCCCCCACACTAAGAAGGGTTCATTTCCAGCAAGAAGTTATGCTAGGGGTGGAGATGATTTGCCCAGCCCTAAACTCCCCAACAGCAGGTATGGTGATTGAGGAGGCAACCCGCATCATGCCAATCCAAGATCACTCTTGCCTAGGGAGCCAGCAGGTACAGCAGGGAAGAGCAGGGCCACATTCACCTTTGGCCTTGAGTAGGTCTGAGCATATAAGTCAGGCCCACTAAGTTTATCAGGTGTGGAGAAATGCAGGGAGGCTCCCAGATATAGAAACATAATGGCTCAGAGAGAATGACTAAAGATTATAGAGAGCTAATTAAGTTAACGTCTCCTATCCATGCTGTGTATCCAACCTTGATCTGTAGAGGAAACAATTGATACAAATGGATGGAACCTTTTCATGCTGTACTAGACCTTGCTTATGTTTGACCTTAATATCTTCTTAGTTGTGAACTTCTGGGATCACCTGACACTGTTGAAAACAGATGACCACAGATTTTCAGCATGCATCACCAAGGTTATCTTTGTTATAGGATGGTGGTTCGGGATTCTGCTTTGCTCTGCCCATCCTCTGGAGGAGGTTTTGTTATATAGATGATGTAATGCTAGCTTCTGAGTGTTTTGCAGATTTGGAAAGCCACTGGAGAGACAAGCCAAGAAGCAAACAGACAAATTGAGCTGAAAAGAAGACTCTGAGACCAGACCAGCTGCCTTGAAGCAGAAACCAGCCAAGATACCTGGAAGAGGTTTAAGAACAGTCACTTGGAAAAGCCACTCTCCAACCTGTTCAACTGCTTGCAGGCTGTGTAAATAAATACTCCCAGTTCCCAGCTTTTGGGAGCCGTCATCCATGCTGGGTGGATTCTGGTGATGCAGCTGTCTTTGAGTCATTCCTGTTCCTGTAAGTGACCCCAATAAAACTCACTGATTCACCAAGTTGGCTTTTGGTAGTATCCATACTTTTGTTGTGGGTTCCTTACCTGAGGTGAGTAGACATATGTGTTGCATCTCCCCAGGAAAAGGTTTTGTCTCACTACACACACAAGCATGCACACACAGGCATGCACAAATGCACACACACATACACACACACACACACACACACACACACACACACACACACACACACACCCCAATGCTCCTATACCTGAAGTGCTTAAAATAAATTATAGCAATAGTCTAAAAATTCGAACAAAAGGGGAATGATAAAATTTAAAAAGCAAGTTCCAACTATATGTTCTTTAGAGGAAATAAACTTTAATTATAAAACAAAAATAAGAATAATGCTAGAAATGAAGAAGATTAATTCCCCAACCTTCCCTGAGGATCTACAAGCAGTTAATAGTTGCTGTGGGAAGGAAAGACATTTTCTTCAGTGGTATAGCCACTGCTATGGTCCTGTTCCTGTAAATAACCCAAATGAAACTCATAGGTCACCAACAAATAAATAACAAAACTAGAATCAACTTATTACACAGCAACCCTAAATGTGTTTCAAATATATGAAACAAAAATCAGAACTAAAGGAAGAGACATAACTACAGTTAGAAATTGTGGGCCAGCAAGATGGCCCATCAGCTAAAGGTACTTCAAAGTCCAACAACTTGATTTGGATCCTCAGAAGCCACACAGAGGAAAGCAAGAATGAAGTCCTGAAAGCTGTCCTCTGACTTGCACATGCACTCCATGACACACACATACACACCCGCATCTACCCCATCTTTCATTCAGTAACTAAAAGCATCAGTTGACAAAAAAAAAAAAAATTAGTACCAACATAGAGGATTTATATAATATTACATCAAGTATTTGATATAACAGATACACACACAGAATATCTACACCCAATTGGCAAATTGGCAAGAGCTGGGTGGACCTGAGGGGTCATAGCTACCAGGTTTAAGGCAATAAGCCAACATGGTAGTCACAGTTAAACTTTTAACCATTTATTAACCATTCAGTATTAGCAAAGAGCTAATTCAGATAAAGTGCCAACTCCCCCACTGTTCAATTTCCTCCATGGAACAGGACTGGGAAAGTAAATCAATACTGCTGGGGGAAATCATCTCAATGCCAAGAGAATACTGAATGAAAGTTTCCTGCCATTTAATGAACTGAGCACAAAGGAGAGGAAGATGGAGGAAACGGCTAGGAGAAGGCAAGAGAACTGCTTTAGAGAAGGGATAAAATATCTTCAAGCTTTTACCCTTAGTAAGGACGTCTTGGCAGAAATGTCTAATAAAGAACCCTCCTAAGAGTGGTGCCTGGGCTAGAAATTTGGATGTGCGTGAGACATGATTGTGCGGAGGGGGCTTCAACTCCCTTTGAAGACTGCACAGCATTCCATGTGGACTAAATCTGGGATGGTGAGGACAGCTTTCCCCTAAGTGGCTTACCAGGATCACCTTTGAAGAAAAAGAGACAAATAAAATAAATAAAAGAAAATCGGTAAAGGACTAGAAGATTTAAATAACACAATCAATCTACCTGATCCAGATGACATTTATTCTACTCAACACCAGCAGAACACAGTCTTTTCAATTGCACAGGGATCATTTACTAAAATGCACCAAACTGTAGGTCAGAAAACAAATCTTAGTTAATTTAAAATGATCCAAGTCACACAAAGAAATAAGACATATTGGATCTATTGAAATACTTGAAATACAAAAAAATATTATCTCATGGGTTAAGGAAAAAGGCAAGTTGGAAAAGATTATAAACTGAAGGCAGAAAAAAAAATGATCAGTGTGTAATAACTTTTGAGCTGTCCATATAATGATTTATTACACGTTTTCTCATTTTAAAATTCCAATCAAAAGCTAAAAAACGAAGCTAGGTGTGGTGGCACAGGCCTGTATTCTCTCAGCTCTTAGGAGGTAGAGTCAAGAGGACCAAGGGTTCAAGGTGATTCTCACCTGGGCTACACAAAACTCCATATGAAAATAAAAAACAAAAACTGCTCTTGCAGAGAATCCCAGTTTTGTTCCAAGCACCCATATCAGGAAGCTCGAGCCTGCCTGTAACTACAGCTCTAGCACCCTATCCTTGGATTTCCTGGGTACCTGCATACACATGGAAATATTCATTCAAGTACATAAATACAAAACTTTGTTTACTAGATAAACAGAAAGCAAACAAATCAGAAAATAAAGATATGGCAGCACATTCATGAAGGTTGAGGCAAGAGTTTGACCTAGTCTGAGCTATACAAGATTGTGTTGATAAAAGTATAAATTTAAAAAGCTACAACCCCTCAAAAGTTAAAGAAAAATAAACAATACAAGAATGCTCTTACTTTTAATTCTATAGCATCAAACCCATTCTTTATAAATGTAACCACTATTAGAAAACATCTATCACAACTACACATTTTCATAACTCTCAAACTATAAAAATCAATTGCCACTGGGTTAGTGCGTGTATTTAATCTCAGAACTTGGGAGGAAGAGGAAGATGGGTTTCTATGATTTCAAGGCCAGCCTGGTCTACATAAAGAGGTTCAAACCAGGCAGTGAGCTCCTGCCTCAAAAATAATTAATAAGAATAAATAAATTGCCATGTTCCTCCATTATAAGAGAAGACTTAGGTTGGAGATATTTACCAAAACAGAAATGAAGAAAAACAAAGATTATGTCTTGACACAATAAAGGCAGTTGAAGAAACAAATATCTACTTACCTCAAACTTCCCTTCTGAATGTACAATGGCCATTTTTTCTCTTCTGTGTTGTACCCTGAGAAAAAGAGTGAACCGAGATGCCATGCCATTCTTGCCATATACTCTAAATTACATCCTCTTCCTCCATCCCCACAATCCATCCCTCATCCAATATAAAGCAAAGTCCAGAGACTAGTATTGGAAACAGACAAGGTCAAGCTGCCTTAGGCTTGAATTTATTTGTGGACTTAAAGCTGCCCACTAGAGGGCAGTGTCATTGGTTCTAGCCTCCACAGTACTTCTGTATTTCCCATTCCTGAAATCCGTTATATTTCCTAGCATCCTGTTGTAAAGGTGCTATCGAATCTCAAAGTGTCATCTAAATTCTAGGTTATAGCTTCACTCAGAGTCTTAACTATCTGGCTTCCTTTCTGCCAATTTCCTTGGCTATAAGATCAGGGAGCACTGGGAACCAGCAACAAAACTCTACTTCGGAAGTGAAATGAGGAGGGGTGGGCAAAACTGAATTGATCCTGACCATGTATGAACGGATGAGTAGCCACTGTGGTCAAAACAGAGGTGAAGTCCTTAAATTCTGGGGGAATTTGGGGAGAGACACAAAGTCACAAGAAATTCATGACCCTTTGATAGATTCAGCTACAAAATGAATTCTGAACAAAATTTCCCTGTTGTATATCCTACTAAAGTAGGATACGATCATAGCTGCAACGTATACTAACGACCACACAAGCCGCATGCAAAAAAATGTCCACAGCCACACAGCTAGAGTCACAATTTCATGGTTAGAGCTACACTGTTTGAGCACTTACTCTTAAACAGGATCCAAGCACGCACAAGAAACAAACATATGTCGGGTTAAGTGCTGCCAGCGTCACTCTGTCACACGGGTGCACGTCTGCTTTATTTACGTTCATGTAAACAGCACAGACAATCCCTCAGTCAGTCTGTCAGTGTCTGTCCCCCCGCTCCTCCCCACCCCCCACAAAATCACCTGGATGGAAAAACCACAAGTCACAGGCCACGGAAACAAGCAACCACAACCTCAGCGACACTGTCATACACGTCTTCACAGCCAAACCAGTTACAACCTCAGAGTGACACACACACCCGAACCCCTTGTTACAACCGAACCCTCCCTCCGCTATACACCGGTGCCGACACACCACAGTCACAGAGACCTCCCCAGCCAGGGGAGCACGCAATCACACACCCTCGGAGTCACAACTCAGATTCACACATCACACCAACCACAAACCAGGGTCGCAAAGGGCTCCAAAAGCAGGCAGGCTTGTGGCACACACAGAGGAGACAGGGCCACCGAATGTCACAGACACAGCCTTCAGGCGTTCCCGACACTCCCACCTCCACCGGAGCGCATCTCAGGGGTCAGCCTCCAGCGCCCGGCTGACGCCTGGCTTCTGGAAAACCTGCTTCGCGGTTGCCCTGCCTAACGAACTCGGCCCACAGACACAGCCCTCTCGCGAAGCCAAGTAACTCTCGCGAGGAAACGGAACAAAAGCGGCGTTCCGGACCGGGAACTCTGGGAGATGTAGTCCAGTTTCAGGAAGCTCGCAGCAAAGTATGCTTCCCCGCCCCTGATTTTCTCTCTCTCTTTAAATACCTGTGATGTATTTTATACGTCTGTGGGATTGCTCGACAGAGACTTCAGCCATAGCGATTTGCTTGTGAAGGGTCACTACATACTTCGGATGTAGGGTCACTACATACTTCGGATGTAGTTGACTAGTTGGCCGCGATGATTTGTGTTACATAAATGCGCTTTTCTTCTGCTTGTATTTCATAGTGACTGCAGGGGTTCCATTAGCTATGTGAGCGTGTTGACTGTGAAAAAATGATGGTCAAGTTATTTCTTCCTTGAATACTAACTGGATGATCGGGAAAACGTAAGCACTTTATCTGAAAAGTAATTTAGATATGATATTTTCTATTATAGTTACACTATGGGAAAAATGAAAAATTTATAGTCTTTATTTTTTCTGAAAAATTATTTTGAACCTTTTACAAAATAAGAACAAAGCTTGGGAAGGTAATAATTATGATGTCTAATGTTAACCAACCATTTATTTATTCTGTTAGGCACAGTTTTAAAATACACGTTACAGGGGCTGGAGAGATGGCTCAGAGGTTAAGAGCACCAACTGTTCTCCCAGAGGTCCTGAGTTCAATTCCCAGCACCCACATGGCAGCTCACAACCATCTATAATGAGATCTGGCACCCTCTTCTGTGTACTAAATAAATAAATCTTTAAAAAAAAAAAATACACGTTACAAACATTTTAAGTGCTCTAATCATTCCCATATAACCATGTGTATGCCATAAATATATACACATGTATACATATATTCTTTAAAATACATGGAAGAATAACATGTTGGTCTGAATGAGAATGGCCCCCACAAGCCCATATATTTGGATGTTGGTTCCCACTTGGTAAGCTGTTTAGGAAAAATTAGGAGGTATGGCCTTGTTGGAGGAGGTGTGTCACTATGGTGGACTTTGAGGTTTCAAAAGCCCAAGCCAGGCTCTCGAACTTATGGGTCAGATGTGAGCTCTCAGTTACTGCTCTAGCGACATGCCTGCCTGCCAGATGTCATACTCTACACCATGAAGTCCATGGATTCACCCTCTGAAACTGTAAGCAAGCCCTCAATTAAAAGTGTTTTTTTTCTACAGGAGACAGAGGCAGTCAAATCTCTGAGTTTGAGGCCAGACAGTTCTATAGCACGAGTTTCAGGCAGCCAGGGCTACACAGAGAGACCCTGTCTCAAAAATAAATCAATAAAAAAAAATTTTCCCCCTATAAGTTGCCTTGGTCAAGGTGTCTCTTCAATAGGAAAGTAACTAAACAAATACCTTGCCTCCCACTGGGAAGGAACTGATACCAGGGATGATGGTCAAAGAAAAGCATAAGCTTTATCTATAATGTGAGCCTTTTACAAGCATAAGAGATCCACACATTGTCTTGGAAATGGAAAATAAATAATGCAGATGTTGTGCCCACATTGAGAGACCCCCGAGCAGGACCACCACAGAGCTGATATCCGATGCAAACACACAGGGGGTTATTGATTACAAGCCTGGGCTTGGTCCGTAATCCAGCATTCTGACGAAGCAGGTGGAGGAGGACCACCCTGAGCTCTCAGAATGAGGGGTTTTTAAAGGGAAAAACCGCAAGCAGGGTGGTGCAAGCCTTGGCGTCACAGGATTGGGTGAGGGTGTGTAACCTTTGAATTCACTGGTTGGGGTCCAGAGGAATTTTCAACAACAACGGTTATCAGAAGGCTACACAGAGACATTTGGAGCCAGCAGATGTTTACCAAAATTACTCACTGGCCAGCCCACCCTGATGGGTTGCCTTGGCCCTGGCTGTTTGTGATTTTTCTTGGAACTGTTTGAGTTTTTTTGTTTGATTTTGGTTTTGTTTGTTTGTTTGATTTATTTTATTTTTATTTTTAAAGATTTACTTATTATATATACAGTATTCTGCCTGCATGTGTCCCTGCAGGCCAGAAGAGGGCACCAGATCTCACTCCAGGTGGTTGTGAGCCACCATGTGGTTGCTGGGACTTGAACTCAGGACCTTTGAAAGAGTAGTCGGTGCTCTTAACCACTGAGCCATGTCTCCAGCCCCTGTTTGAGCTTTTTACTGGAACTAAGTTCAGCTTCTGGCAAAGTGCTGTTTGAAATGGAGTTTTCTTTAAAATGGAGCTTTTCTTGCTCTCTCACAGACACATTCAAGAGAGGGGCAATAAGGTAACTGTTTTGTTTTGTTGTTGTTGTTGTTGTTTAGTTTTTCAAGAGGGTTTTCCCTGTGTAACAGTCTTGACTGTCCTGGAACTCACTTTGTAGACCAGGTTGGCCTCGAACTCACAGAGATCTGCCTGCCTCTGCCTCCCAAATGCTGGCATTAAAGGCGTGTGCCACCACCACCCGGCTTAAGGTAACTGTTTATAATGGCAAATTTTCTTTTTTCTTTTTTTTTTTTTTTTTGGTTTTTCAAGACAGGTTTTCTCTGTGTATCCTTGGCTGTCTTGGAACTTGCTCTGTAGACCGGGCTGGCCTCAAACTCAGAGATCTGTCTGCCTGTGCCTCCTGAGTTCTGGGATTAAAGGCTAGTGCCAGTGAAAGAATGGACTTGCTATTGAGGTCAAGAGCAAGCAGGCAAGGAGAGAGGCTTCCTTCTTCCATGTCTTTTATATAGGCTGCCAGCAGAAAGTGTGGTCCAGATTAGAGGTGGATCTTCTCACCTTAAAAGATCTGGATTAAAGGTGTGTCTTCCCCACCTCAAAGAACCAGATTAGAAGTGTATCATCCCATTTCAAATGATTTAATTAAGCAAAATCCCTCACAGGTGTGCCTAGCCATTTTGGGGTTTTATTTAATTCCAGATATAGTCAAGTTGACAACTAAAGTAGCTACCACAGATACTTATAAAACTAGTAAAACAATAACAATATGTAATCACATTTTGTTCAAGAAAACAAAAGCCAAAAAAACCTCTAAAGACATATAATTTGCCCCCCCTTTTTTCTTTTTTGCTTTTCAAGACAGAGTTTCTCTGAATAGCCCTGGCACACATATAATCCTAAAAGGAATTCTCCAAGCTTGCCAGCAACTATGATTAGTGATATTACAGATAATTATATACTTTTTGCTTTTCATATATTTTTTAGACAGGGTCTCACTTTGTAGCTCTGGCTATCTTTGAACATCCTATGTAGATCATGCTGGGCTCAAACCCACAGAGATCCATCTGTCTCTGCCTTCCAAATGCTGTGAGTAAAGGTGTGTGCCACCATTCTTAGCCTTCTTGTATTTTTTTTTAAGATTTGTTTTTATTTTATGTGTATGAGTGTTTGGCATGTATATGTGTTTGGAGCACAAAGGTCGTTGTACCCACAGGTCTCTAGGGAAACCAGGGATTTATTTTCCTTTCAAAGGGAAAGACATATAGCTGTTTGCCCAGAAGGCTGAAAATTGGAAGTGATTAGTAGTCTGTTTCTCCGCGTTATCTGTTCAGCCAGGCCATATCAAGCTCTTATAACAAGGACGGGAAGTGGCTAGTAATATAAATGACACTTACATTACCAGCACAGCCAGGGGCTCGCCTACGCTCCTACAACTAGGGCCAGAGGTGGCAAATAGCCCAAATGACCTCTACACTATCTATATGACTAAGACCAGGCCAGATCCTTTCCTAGGCCCTTAAGTTAGTACAGGTACTCTATCTCTAGAACCCATCTTAATGGAAGAAATGATGCAATTATTGTCTCCTTTTGCACCAGAAATTGTGTTTACACCAGGAAACATTTTCCAAATTATATCATGTTTAAATATGCTGACAATAAAGTACTTGGAATCAGATACTCTGATGTTTAATCCGGGGTGATGAAGTCAATCTGAACTGAGTTTTCACTCTCACCCCTTTGAGGATCGCTGCCTGCCTTGACACCTGCAGAGAGCGCCCCCCCCAAAAAAAATATGCAATTTGTGTGTGCCTGATACCCACTGAGGCTGGAACAGGGCATCCGGTCCTCCAGAACTGGAGTTGCAGATGGTTGTCCTTGGAAGTGAACCCAGGTCCTCTGCAAGATCAGCAAATGTTCTTAATCACTGAGCCATCTTTCCTCCCTTCTCTATTAGTCAGGGATCTCAAAGTAGCAGAACCTATAGAATTAATCTCTATATATGTATGGAAAGGGACTGGATTAGAGTAGCTTACATGCTGTGGTCCTGCTAGTCCAACAATGGCTGTCTAGCAATGGAAACTCTCAGAATCAAGTAGTTGTTCAGTCCACAAGGCTGGATATCTCAGCTCGTCTTCAGTATGTGTAAGAATCTGGATGAAGCAGGCTTGATGCCAATGAAGAAATGGCCTTGATAGCAAGGGCAAGAGCAAGCATGCAAAGAGAGAGGCTTCCATCTTCCATATCCTTATGTAGGCTGCCAGCAGAAAGTGTGGTCCAGATTAAAGGTGGATCTTCCACTTCAAAAGATCTGGATTTAAAGTGGGTATTCCCACTTCAAATTATTTAATTAAGAAAAAAAACCCTTTACAGGTGCACCCAGCTGCTTGGATTTTAGTTAATTTCAGATATGCTCAAGTCGACAGCCAAGAAGAGCCATCATAAGTCCACCCCTTGTCAACTTGACACATAATCATATCTCCTTATGTCATGCTTAATTTCCAAGTGAAAATGAAGACCAGTTAATAACATGATATAACTATCCCACACACAATTGCAAATGCATTACATATTTAACCAGTTCATAATTATATCTAACATGGTATAACTATTCCTCATACAACTGCAAATGCATTATAAATTTAAAATAGGTAGCACTCTTCCTTGAGGGGCATTCTTTTAGTATCTCAAACTTAAATATGATAACCATTGATATTCTCTTAATTGACATTACATCATATGATAAAGAAATTGAGGAAAGAAAACACAAA